TTTCGGCACACCCCTCACACGTTTCGTGGCCCCAAAGGGAGCTCCACCGAAGGCCCCAGTGGCTGCGCTCGCATGCGGTTCCACCCCCCTTTTCGGCACACCCCTCACACGTTTCGTGGCCCCACAGGGAGCTCCACCGAAGGCCCCAGTGCCACCGCCCGCATGCGTCCCCCATACCCATGTCGGCACACCCCTCACACGTTTCGTGGCCCCATAAGGGGGCTCCACCGAAGGCCCCAGTGCCACCGCCCGCATGCGTCCCCCACACACACATTTCGGCACACCCCTCACACGTTTCGTGGCCCCACAGGGAGCTCCATCGAAGACCCCAGTGCCGCCGCCCGCATGCGTGCCCCCACACACATTTCGGCACACCCCTCACACGTTTCGTGGCCCCACAGGGAGCTCCACCGAAGGCCCCAGTGCCACCGCCCGGATGCGTCCCCCACACACATGTCGGCACACCCCTCACACGTTTCCTGGCCCCATAGGGGGCTCCACCGAAGGCGCCAATGCCACCGCCCGCATGCGTCCGCCACACTCAAGGTTTCAGGGAACAGCTCCAGACCTCTGGGGAGAAGGAGGAGGCGGAGGAGGAGGAGGAGGAGGCCCGCTCCCCCCCGTATGTATGTTGCTTTTTGCATTCGCGGGAGATTCCATTCCACCAGCGAGGGTCTTTCCGGCGTTTTCGTTGTAAACGAGCGGTGGAGGAGTGGCCTGGTGTATGTCGCCATCGTCGTCTTCGTCCGGCGGCGGCTCCGGGTCGCCACGCGGCATGCGGGCTGGCGGCCGTGGACGCGCCGGGGATCCTCCGTATCCGCGGAAACGTTGCCGACCACGGGCTTGCGAACTGCTCGTCCGGGCAGGCCGCGCTCCCGCCCAGGGGAGGCAGGCGAACGGGAGAGGTTCCAGAACGGCGTCGTCGTCGTCGTCGTCGGCGGCGGCTCCGGGAGGAGAGGTTCCAGAACGGCCACGTGATCGGGTCCTACTGGGACACCGTGGCGCGGTGGATGAACATGCGTGCCCAGCGGGGCGCGGACGTCCTGAAGAAACCCCTTTTCCTCGTGCAGGCCGCCGACAGGTCTGCCCCGACGATGAACGTCAAGGGCGCCGCCAAGATGACGAACTGTGCCAAGGCGAAGAACGCCGGTGGCATGCGCGGACTTCCCGGCGCGCGTCTGAGATGACCAAAAACAGTTCTGATTGTCACGATGACCTTCAGGTAGATCAAGTTAACCTGATCTTCCAGATCTTAACTTGATCTTCCCTATCTTAATTTCATCTTCCAGATCTTCCAGATGTTACATAACTTGAACGGTGCAATGTGTGGAAGATGCGGCTTTTTGGTTTTACGGCGTGTGAGTTACAGGGGAGTTAGGTTTTGGAGTGGTTCTAGTTGTGGAAGTTGCGTTCTAGTTAGTTGCTGTTTTTTATTTTTAATTCCCAACCAGCCTGCGATGTTGGGTCCTCGTTTTGAAGAGAGAGCGCCCCGCGTCTCCTCCCTCCTTCCTTCCTCCTCCCCACCCTCCTCCCTCGTCCCCCTCCTTGCCTCTGCTCTCGGCGCACCTCTCGCACGTTGCGTAGCCCCATAGCGAGCTCCACCGAAGGCCCCAGTGGGGGGGGGGGGTCGCATGCGGTTCCCCCACCCAGGGCAGCGTTTCGCGCCCCCATAGGGAGCTCCGCCGATGGCCCCAGCGGGGGGGGTCGCACGCGGTTCCCCCACCCAGGGCAGCGCTTCGTGGCCCCATAGGGAGCTCCGCCGCTGGCTCCAGTGTGTGTGTGTGTGTGCGCGTGTGTGTGTGTGTGTGTGTGTGTGTGTGTGTGTGTGTGTGTGTGTGTGTGTGTGTGTGTGCGTGTGTGTGTGTGTGTGTGTGTGTGTGTGTGTGTGTGTGTGCGCGTGTTTTTTTTTTTTTTTTTTTTTTTTTTTTTTTTTTTGTTTTTTGTGTTTTTTTTTTTTTTTGGGGGGGTTCGCACGCGGTTCCCCCACTCAGGGCTGCGTTTTGTGCTCCCATAGGGAACTCTGCCGATGGCCCCAGCGGGGGGGGGGGGTCGCGCATGCGTCCTCCGCCCAGGGCAGCGTTTCATGTCTCCATGGGGGGGCTCCGCCGATGGCCCCAGTGGGGGGGGGGTCACATGCGGTTCCCCGACCCAGGGCAGCGCTTCGTGGCCCCATAGGGAGCTCCGCCGATGGCCCCAGTGTGGGTGGTGGTGCGTGTGTGGGGTGGGGTGTGTGTGGTGTGTGTGTGTGTGTGTGTGTGTGTGTGTGTGTGTGTGTGTGTGTGTGTGTGTGTGTGTGTGTGTGTGTGTGTGTGTGTGTGTGTGTGTGTGTGGTGTGTGCGTGTGTGTGTGTGTGTGTGTGTGTGTGTGTGTGTGGGGGGGGGGGGGGGGGGGGGGGGGGGCGCGCGATGCGATTCCCCCACCCAGGGC